ATCTTGATCTTCAATAAGCTCGACTTGGTTGTGGATGAAGCTTGATCTTGAATATGACTTGATGTACAATGGCTTCATACCGGTATTCCGCTAACCTCCATTGGATATGATCGTTGAGGCTCGATTCCATCCATTCTCTGACAACATTGTTTGTCTAGAATACCTAATAAGAAAACATAAACACTAGACAAATAATATTAGGAATTGTTTGTAATCATCAAAACAATATTAGAAGATGTAGGCTCATAACATGAGACCTAACAACCTCATGCATTTACCAACTTGCCATGTTATGATGGCAATTACTTCCTGAAGCACCACCAACCGGGGCCATTTACTAACATGCTAAGTTCTTCTATACTGCCTCAACAATTTAATAGCCCTAATATTAGTAGGTTACAACTATCTCCCACCAATGATTATGGCTCAACTCCTGAGTCAAGTTCCAAATGTATGCTCATAGAAGAAGGGGTAGCAACCTCACCTAATCCAAATAAGAAAAGGAAAAACACCTCAATAAAGAAAAAAAATAGTGGCAGTTCTCAAGGGAATAAATATTTATTTTGAGATTCTCGTTATGATGATGAGCTTATTTTATTTCTTGCCAACTTAGCTAAAAAGGGTTACAAACCTGACAAAAGCATCAAGAGAATTGCTTAGAGCGTAGCTTCCACACATGTCAACAATAAGTTTAACACTATATTTAAGTGGTAGAATGTCATGTACCACATCAAAAATTTGCATACAAGATTCCATGATATGGAAACTTATCATAATTTTAGTGGTGTCAGATGAGATGATGGCATCAAGACTGTCATAATGGATCCTGAGTGTTTGGATAGGTAGATTGAGGTAAATAAGCCGTTGTTGCATTTTCATTGTCTACTTTTCTCATTCTATCATTTTCATTGAATTAATTCACATATACTTTTCAGAACAAGCTAATTACTAATGCTAAGCTTAGGGAGTATATCAATAAATGCTTGGTGCATTATGATGATTTTGCACTCATCATCGGGGATGATCAAGCTAGAGGAGACTTTGCTAATGATGCTTGGCAAAAGTCTAGTCGTAGCTAGTCTATAAATCATGGAGATGATATTGACTCACCTTTGTCTACCTCTCAATCCCCTCAAGTGCACGCTTTAGATGATGAGGACACTCCTCCACCTAAGGAAACACCTACCTCATCAACTTCTAAGGCAAAGTCATGTGCTACTAAGCGAAAGGCTTGTAGGACCAACGTAAAGAATGAGCTCATGCCACAAATGGTGGATAAGCTAGATGCATTTAGTGTAAACATGAAGGGTGTAAATATGCATTGGACCGAGAAGTTATTCAAGGTCCTATATGCTCATTTACAAGATTTTTGTGCTGATAAGCTAGATGCATACTACCGTCATATCTTTTTGAATGAGCATGAATCAAGGCTTTCTATGGGCACATTTTTGATTCGTCAAAAAGAGACGATTGATGCATTTCTCAATAATGAAGGTTGAAAAACAATATGAATATGGGTTCATGTGCTATTTTGTGATTTTCACTTCTAACATACTTGTTAAATCTACTTACTTTTGGTGAAAATACTAGTCTTACTTAATTTAGGGAAACTACATTTGATTTTGAATGAACAATATGTTGCTGTTATATTTTAGGCTTATGAAACATGATGATGATGGAACATTATTGTAATAGGCAGTAATTATTTATATGCCTTTGCTTTTGATTGTGCTTGCACTTTGAACGTATGGTTTCATATGAATATTTAACAACTTTATGTGAATATTGTAGGGTACTAAGTTTACATTGAACTTGTGCTCGTAGAAACCTTATAAGTCACCGTATACATGATAACTAAATAAATTTTGTATGTGAGCAACCTACAATGTATCTACATTGTATTGGATGGATGCTATTGTGGGTTATCAAAGTATTCGGCTATCATTTCTTGAGTTTTAATTGGTAACTTATTTACTTTTAGGCTATGATGATTGTCACATATTCTGAGATTAGCGACCTATAATGTTTATTGATATTGCACTTAATAGCTAACAATGATGATATTGACTAAGTTTTGAGCCATCAGCCAAAATTTTCATATACATATGACTGATACAGTTTATGTGATATCAACAAATGTTTTCAAATGATTTTTTTCCTCATAAAGTTCATTCAAATTTAAACTTGCATAAAATGTACGCAATAATAGGAAAGTAGTAGATGTTATTGCTTTCATATTATCAATTGCAAATATATTTTTGGTCCATGATACTCCCTAATGTAATCCTTATTTAGATTAGCCACAGTTTCACTGTAACCAACTTTATATGCGTGTGTTAGGAGATCATTTTTGTTCCAGTTCATGTTGGACATATTCTTACAGTAGGGACACTTCTAATTCCCGTTTCAGTCTCTAACTTTTATAGCATTAGCTCTTAGCATAATTTCTGCTAATTTCATGATATCCCACATCTCATCTTGCTCTCGATCTGCATCTATATAGGCAATCCATTCTTCAAAGGTGGTTGGATGTTTAAGTTTAGTATTTCTTCCTCGCTGAGATAAAAAAAGAGTAAATTGACATTAAAATATATAGCTCCATTTTTATATAAATTTTTTTAAATATTCTTACCTTTGATGATGTTGCAGATGAAGTTTCACCAATATCTCTACCTTTATTACTCTTATTTTTTCCTGGTTAGCTTTTGGTATACAAATATTGCATTTTATAGATGTATATAGAGTGGTACATTTAGTTGGTGGTTGGATGTTAAATCTGACAATATTTATTTGGATCATTAAATTTTCTGCTAATTTTACCCATGATTTTGAAGCACTCATGGTTTTGAAACCTAACTGGTTTTCTTTCTTGTATTTGACTCAATTACTCAGTCTCTACAGGTTTGGTATTTCCATGTTGGTGTGATTTTCCATGTCAACAAGGATTTATGACTAATCAGGTTATTTATAGGTTTTTACAGGTTTATAAGATTTTTTGCTAATTCAGGTATGTAGTTCATAACAATTATGAATAAACATCTTATTATAGATTTCGTGTGATTGTCTATATCAAACAAGTATTTTCATATGAGTTATGCACAATCTAGTTATTTACATGTGTGGATTTTTGAATTTTTATGCTATACGCGTTTTTATGTGGAATCAGGTTTTTTACAGGCTTTGTGAGAATATTTTTGCTAATTCAGGTACGTAATCCATAACACTTATGATCAATCATCTTATTACAAGCAAGTTTTGTATAATTTTTTATGTAGTACAGATATTTATGATGAATTCGATTATTTACTGGTTTTCCATGTTATTTTCGCACTTGTACTTTGGTAAGATTATCCCCTATAACGATCGCAAATAAATTTGTCTTTAGTGAGTGATAAATTTACTATGATGACGATATACATTTTTCTCTACAAACTTTAATGGCAACCAAACATAAGAAAAGTGGGAAATTTCTAATCAAGAAATATTTTTCTATTTTTTAGATACTAACCAAACACAAGAAAAATGTGTACCTTAGTTTCCCACCATGTTTTATGTGTAAAACAAACTCAAATAATCTATTTCTTGGAAAAGTTAAAAAAATCCAAACCTTGTGTTTCTTTACATGGAATGATGTTTCCCAATAAATGGGAAACGAATCAAACAGTCTGTAAGCCCTTAAACTATTATTTGATTCTAGTAAGTGCCTGTGGCTTTTGTTTTAATTCTATTTAGCCTCTTTGATGGTTCAACTCCCTAATCACCACCAAAATCAAAATTCCAGTAGGGTGAAACTTCAAATAATGAAACATGGAACTATTGAAATCATTTCTTTTAGAGAAAAGAATTATCATTCCCACCATTTCTACATATTGTTGTAAAAATTAGCAATAAATAGAAAAAAAGATTATTAGCGTTGCCAGAGGCACAAGCAAAGGAAAGAGGCAATCAAAAGGCTGAGAGAGAAACAAAACACAAGAACTAGTTTAAGGCAAACGAGACGCAACAGAGGCTGTTAGCAACGAGAAAGACAACAAAGGTAGGCGACGGAAAAACGTAAATGAGGACTAAAGGAAAATCAATTTGCCTTAGATTGACTTCCCCATGTTCGGCTCAGAATTATCATCATCTCTTATGAGCTGCATGTTACTATTTTTGCAATACTACAATATTGCTCATGTTGAAATTTTGATTTTTGTGGAGGTTTGGTGTTGAACCACCATGGTGGCTAAATAGAAAAAAAAAAAACGGTAAGGACTTACTAGAATGAAATAATAGTTTGAGACAAGATAGCAATCATGGGACCTAATGGTAAAAATTTTAGGCAGAATGTTACATATGAATTAAAGCCAAGATGGTGTGAGCACTGCAAGATGGTAGGGCATGACTCTAGTTATTGCAGGAGACAAACAAGAACTCAGAAATGGGTGCCAAAAACAAAAACAAAAACCTGAGGTTGAAGATAAAGCAGAAGGCTCGGGTTATAATCAGGTTGTTCAGGGAACTGACCAAGGTGATAAGGAAATGCATTGAGTGCATTTGCATGTGCATGATGTGTGCAATAAGGATCCTATTTCTAAGGTGATTGGAAGCAGTAGGCTGCAAATGACTTCAGATGCTACTGGTTTTAAAGATAAGTCTGGGGCTCTGCATGTGCATAGTAGCCATGTAGAAATCTCAGATATTCAACAGGTTAAGAGGCCTGAATCTCTACAGGTTGATCAATTCAATAACTCTGGTAGTGCAAATAAGTCCAGGACTTCAGGTACTCCTGTGCACGTTGTGCATAACAAGTCTGAGCATGATGATGGCCTAAGTGGAATTCTTGGAACTGTACCCATGCATGTGGTGCATGTTTCAGATACTGAATCTGGAAACTTCTCACAATTATGGACAATAGTTCAAAATAAAAAATCAAAGGGGCTATTAAATCCTACCAATTCTTTCTCATCTCTAGATAATTTAGATTTTGACCCTTCTACCATTAGAGGGGGCTCATCTAAATGAATCTAACATTTTGGAATGTCAGAGGACTAAATAAGTCCTCTAAGCAACAGTTGGTAAAGCACCATATGTTGCAATATCATGCTTCTTTCCTTTCTCTCCTGGAAACCAAGATTAAGGGCTCATTGTTACCTGTTGTGGCAAAGAAAATAGCAAATAGTTGGAGTTGGATTTCTAATGCAGGGGTGTCTGGTAAAGCCAAAATTTTTATTCTATGGGATACAAAAATCTTGGATGCTCAAGTCATAGCTTCATCTGATCAACATATTACCTGCCTTGTAAAATCCTTGGATGGTTTACTGGAATGTGTCATATCTTCTGTGTATGGACATAATCATGTAGAAGGCAGGAAGGCATTATGGACAGATCTCATGCAGATTAATCATAATATTGGTAATGTTCCTTGGTTACTATGTGGGGATTTCAATGCTATGATCAACTGTGATGAAAAGCTTGGAGGTTCTGCACTAACTGAGGCTGATACAGGTGACTTCAGGGATTTTATTTCTGATTGTAATCTCAATCATCTTAAGACCTCTGGATGGTTTTACACTTGGAATAACAAGCAAAGCTCAGATTCTAGAGTCTGGTGTAGGCTTGATAGGGCCTTGGTTAATGATGCATGGATTCATTCTTTCAACTCTAGCCATGTGGAATTTCTTCTTCCTAACTTTTCAGATCATTCTCCAGCTTTGGTCTCTATCTATGATGATCAGATTCAGGGTAAAAAACCTTTCAAGTTCTTCAATATGTGGACGAAGCATCAAAGTTTCTCTACCACAGTCTCTAATGTTTGGAAAGGAAAAATTAAGGGTTTCTCTATGTTCTCAGTTTACTCTAAACTGAAAATGCTGAAGGTTGCTCTTAAGGGATTAAATAAGAAACATTTCCACAACATCAGTGAGCAAGTCCAAATGGCTAGGCTTACTCTAGAGAATGTTCAGGAAAAACTTCAAAACTCCCCTTTTGATCCCATTCTTATAAAACAAGAGAAAGATAGTCTGGTTACACTCAACAGGCTTATGGATTGTGAGCTCTCATTCTTCCAGCAAAAAGCTAGGATTAATTAGAATTTGCAAGGTGACAGGTGCTCCAGATTCTTTCATGCTTTGGCAAAAACAAAAAGGCACCAAAATAGAATTGTGGTTCTATATAACAACAGAGGTGATAAGATTACAGATGGAGAAGGCATTGCTGATGAATTGGTGGCTTATTATAAAAGCTTAATGGGTACTGCTATAGACACTGCTCCTCCTGACATGAATATCATAAAATCTGGGCCTTGTTTGAATGAAGCTCAAGCAAATCACCTATCAAGACCAGTTTCTAAAGAAGAAATCAAGGCAGCAATATTCTCTATGTCAGATTTAAAGGCACCAGGACTTGATGGGTTCAATGTGTCTTTCTTTAAAGCTGCATGGAACATTATAGGGGATGAAGTAACATTGGCTATCGAAGACTTTTTCAAGACTGGAAGGCTCTTAGGCACGGTTAATTCAACCTCAATTACTCTTATACCAAAAGTACAGTGCCCTAAAGTTCCTTCAAACTACAGACCTATCTCTTGTTGCAATAGCATCTACAAATTCATAACAAAGATTCTAGCAAACAGGATCAAAGAAATGATGGGGTGTCTGGTCAATGGTGCATAATGTGCATTTGTGAAGGGGAGATTGATCTCAAATAACATAATTCTTGCTCATGAACTGGTGAAAAATTACAGTAGGAAGCTGTTATCTTCTAGGGTGATGTTAAACATTGATATAAAAAAGGCCTTTGATTCAATCAGCTGGGGATTTATATCAGATATGCTCAAAGGGCTGAATTTCCCTCATGTTATGGTGAACTGGATAATGGAATGCATCACCTCTCCCAAATATTCTATTTCACTTAATGGAACATTACATGGTTATTTCAATGGCCAAAGAGGTCTCAGACAGGGTGATCCATTGTCACCTTACCTGTTCATATTAGGCATGGAATATTTATCAAGGAGCTTGAGTCTCTTAGAAAAAGACAGGCAATTCAAATATCATCCCAAGTGTGCTAAACTCAAAATATCTCACCTCATTTTTGCTGATGATTTGCTTCTATTCTCTAAAGGTGATATCTACTCTGTGTCAAAGCTCTATCAATGTTTCAAGGAGTTCAGTGCCATTTCTGGTTTGGAGGCAAATGCAGAAAAGAGTTCTATATACTATGGGGGTGTTGATGAAAATACCAAAAATTCTCTTCACAACTTGCTGGGGTTCTCATCTGGTACATTGCCTATCAGGTATCTTGGAGTCCCTCTGACATCTAAGAGATTATTTTTTTTTGGACTGCAATCCATTATTTACAAAGATAACAGGTCAGTTTCAGAATTGGTTAAGACATCGAAAACTTTCCTATGCTGGTAGGCTTCAGATCATCAAAAGTGTTATACTTGGGATTCAAATATTCTGGACTTCAAATTTCATTCTGCCTGTCAGAGTTCTAAAGAGAATAGATGAACTTTGCAGAAAGTTCCTATGGGGTAATTCTGATCAAACTTTTAAAGCTTCTCTTGTCTCGTGGGAGAGGGTGTGCAGGAGTAAGGATCAAGGGGGTCTGGGGATTTTCTCTGCCCTCAATTGGAATATTGCTTCAGCCATCAAATGTATCTGGAACATACACACCAACAAGGAGTCCCTATGGATTAAATGGATTCATGAAAATTACTTAAAAAATTCAGATATTTGGCTGGTGGTTACAAAGCCTAGTGATTCCTGGACGTGGAAACAGTTGATTAGAACAAGGGATAAAGCTATAGCTTTGTGTGGTGGTGAGAACAATCTGAAGTTGCTGATCAGTTCCTGCTGCAAAAAATTCAAAGCTCAGAATCTCGGCCATATACAATTCACTCTTACATTCAGCAAATGAAGAGAAATGGTCCAGAGTTGTTTGGGGAAGATTAAATATCCCTAAGCATTCATTCATTAGCTGGTTAGTTTGTCAAGACAGACTTCTAACAAAGGACAGGTTATATAGGAGAGGAGTCATTAATTCAAACCTGTGCAGTCTATGTGATGGAGATTGCAGCGAATCCAGGAACCACTTGTTCTTTGAGTGTGTTTAATCTTGTGAAGTATGGAATAATATCATGGATTGGATGGATTTTAACTGGCGTACCTGTCATTGGCATCATGTTATTGAGCTGTTTACTGTCAGACAACGAGGTAAGAGACTTAAAAAGCTTCTCAAAAATTTGGCTCTGACAGCAACTATCTATTACATTTGGAGGGAGCGCAATGTTAGAATCTTCCAACAAAAGTCCAGGAGCACGTCACAGCTGGTTAGAGAAATCAAAACTGATGTTTGGATCACCATATTAAACAATCCATTAGCTAGATAATCTGAAAATGTGAATTTCCTCTTAGTGATGTTCTGTTGCTAGAGTTTGTAAGCTCAGTCTCTTTCTGAGCAATTGATGTAATTACATTTCACATTTGGTTATGAATAAAAATCTTTCATTGACCAAAAAAAAAAGAAATAATAGTTTGAGAACTTAATAGCAACTTAAGACAAACAACAAGAGCTTATCTGAATCTGAGTTCTTTTAATTATAAGGATTAGTGTGCTTTAAGCTACACACATTGAACTTAACACTAACTCTTAAGTTGCCTCTAAGACAGCCTCTAGACTTATATAAGGAGCTCAAAACCTTAAAGTTCAGAATACACAAAAAACTTTCATTTGAAAAGGTGAGGTCAATACTTTCTAGGTCTAATTGTCTACTTAATTAGGGAGTGACGACCAAACCTAAGTATATATATGATGGATTGCAGACGACTATCCTTAAAATAAATGCTGATATATGAATATATTAGTAGGGGCAATCAATAACTCGCCACATAGGGGGTCAAAAAGGGGAATGTCCCAAAAAAAAAAAAAAAAAGGAGAACAAACAAACAAAATCTCTAACGCCTCTAACTTGTATATAAACTAGAGCATTACAGACTTGCAACGTTTTCTAATAGTTAGAATGCTTGGAGCATGACTAGTTGTTGGATTGTGTTGTAATGCCGCAAATGAGTGACCTCATTGTTGTTGTAGGTATTAGGCTTCTTCCAAATTGGTCCTTTAAATCTTTAGCTATTTAAAATTGGTCCCTCAAACCATTGAAATTGCTATTTAGTCCCTCAAAATCCTATTAGTCATTTCAAATTGTTAAAGGAGAGAGAGAGAAAGACTTGGGGTAAATTTCTCTTAGATTAAGTATTTAATGTATACACACACACACACACACACACACATACACACAAGTAGAGGAGGGTGAGGTATGCTCTCATAACCGATGTGAGACTAAACCCACTACTAACGCATACAATAATATCAACAGTCCCCCTCAAACTCATCTTGGATCAAACAAAGTGAGTTTGTATACAAGCAACTAGAATCCATGAACAGGTAAGGCCTTCGTGAAGAAATCTGCAAGCTCATTGGCGGATGGGATATGAGAAAGTTGAATTGTCTTGTCTTTGATAACTTGTTAACAAATAAAATGAGCGTCGATCTTAATGTGTTTGGTCCTCTCATAAAATACTAGATTATTAGCAATCTGGATGACACTCCTATTATCATATTAGAGAGGAGTAGGAGTCAAAACAGAAATACCAAAAACATTGAAAAGGCGACGAAGATGAATAATCTCTTTAGGTGTTGTGGATATTGCACGATACTCTGCCTCGGTGCTGAAAAGGGAAATAACATCTTATTTCTTACTCCAGTAGGAAATAAGGGAATCACCATGAAATATACAATAACCTGTGATAGACTTCCTGACAGTTAGATCACCAGCCCAATCAGCATCAGAATATGCACAAAGCTCTAAATCGAATGTAGCAGAAAATAGAAGAGAGTGAGTGCTAGTGCCTTGGAGATACTAAAATATCCATAATAAGGCAAGATAGTGTACAGAAACGTGGGGCATTAACAAATTGACTGACAATGCTAATAACATGAGAGATGTCTGGTCGAGAGATGCACAAATAGACCAACTGACTAACAAGATGTCGGTATCGGGTAGGATCAGATAGAGGCTCACCATTAGTAGAGCGAAGTTTGACATTCTGTTGAAGTGGAGTATCGATAATTGCATCACCAGTTAGCTCAGCACGAGCTAGAATATCCGAGAGATACTTCTACTGAGATAGTAGTACTCCCCGCGCGCCCTGAGAAATTTCTAGACCAAGAAAATAGTGAAGAGATCTAAGATCCTTCATGTAGAACTATTGTTACAATTTAAATTTTGCGTACTATATACCAACAACATCATTACCGGTAATGATCATATCATCTACATAAAGGAGTAATAAAACTCTGTCGCGCGATGTAGTGCGAACAAACAAAGAAGCATCTTGATGACTTTCTACAAAATCCACCTAGAGCACGACATCGTGAAAACACTCAAACCAAGCACGTGGTGCCTTCTAGAGACCATAAACAACACAGCGAAGGAGACATGCATGTCCTGGAGGAATATTGTACCCTGGAGGTGGTTGCATATATACCATCTCAGATAAAGAGCCATGGAGAAAAGCATTCTTGACATCCATCTGATATACGGGCCAACGATGAACAGCAACAACTATAAGGAGAGTACGAACGGTGGACATCTGAGCAACAGGAGCAAAGATCTCGTCATAATCAACACCCTGTTGCTGAGTGAAACCTCGAGCCACTAAATGGGCCTTCCGACGTTCAATGGTGCCATCAGGTGACCTTATAAACCCATTTATTGTCAACTAGAGAGACGCCAGGAGGACAAGGAACAACATTCCATGTGTGTGTTTGCTGAAAGGCCTGTAATTCCTCAGCCATAGTCTGTCGCCACTCTGAAAATTGAATTGCCTCTTGAAAGGACTTTGACTCAATGGTAGTATGAATGGCAGTAAGAAAATTATGAAAGATGAGTGAATAGGAAGTAATCAAAGCATACCATTTAGGCAAGACATGTGGTCGTTTGCCTCGACGAAGAGCAAGAGGAACCTCAGGCGGGGGAGATGTTAGCGCAGGTACGTGGAGGTCAGTAGTATGTTCTGTAGTGGGC